TTACAAATAGTTCTGTAACAATTAAAAATATAAATATTACCAAAGAAGTAATAGATATAATTTTAAAACCAGAAGATACAAAACACAAAACAAAAAAATGTTCACCACTTTTATTTAACATATTAATAGCATTAGGAATTGTAGCCAGCAAAATATGGTAAGAAAAATGAATAAAGAGCATATAAATCTAAAAGGAACACAGAGTATTATCTTTATTCACAGATGACATGATTGCCTAATTAGAAAATTCCAATCTACCAAAAAATTTCTAAAAATTATGAGTGAGTTCAGCAAGGTTGCAAATACAAACCAACACACAAAAGTTAATTGCATTTATACATACTAGCAAAATTAAAAACAAAGTGGTGTTTATATTGCTCCAAAGAAAACAAAGTACTTGCATATAAATATAAAACTCTTGTTTGATGTGTATTATAAAAATTATAAAATACTAATGAAAACAAGAAAAGATGACCTAAACAAAGAGACATATTGTATTTATGGATTGAAAGACCAAAAATAGTAGAGATATGAATTCTCCCTAAATTGATCTATAGTTTTAACAAAATTTCTATTAAAATCCCACCAGTAATTTTTGTGAATATAGACAAAATTATTACAAGACATACTCAGAAGTTAAAGGACCTAGAATAGCTAAAACAATTTTGAAAAAAAATAAAGTGAAAGGAATCACCTTACCTACCGTTAAAACTTATTACACAACCACAGTAATGAAGACAATGTCGTTTTGGCAGATGGATAGATGCATAATTCAATGGGACACAACTAAAAGCTCAGAAATAGCCCCACACGAATACCACCAACTGATTTTTGGCAAAGGTCCAAGAGCTAATTTGGTGGAGCAATTATAGACTTCAAAAAGAGGTGCCAGATTAATTAGACTGGGGGCGGGGGAAGCATCTTAATTTAAAGAAGAAAGAAAAGAAGGAAACATAGGAGAAAATCTTTAGGACCTAGTACAATATAAAGGGTTCTTATTGTTAACACAAAAGCATGCTCCACAATATGTGAAACTGATAAATTTTTTTTTGAGTAAAAACTTTTTCTCTGTAGAAGACCCTCTGAAGGAGATAAAAAGACAGTAAGATACAGGCTGAGAGAAGACACTTACAAACTAGATATCCAACAAAGGAACAGTGTCTAGAATACATAAAGAATCCTCAAAACACAACAGTAAAAAATCACAGAATCCAACTAGAAAATGACCAACAGACATGAAGAGATGGTAATAAACATAAAAAGATGTTCAATATATTTAGCCATTAAAAAAAGACAAATTAAAACTGCAGTGAGAAACTATCTGACATCTATCAGAATGACTAAAATGAAAACTTGTGGTACCATCAAATGCTGATGATGCAGAGAAACTGGATCATTTGTGCAATGGTGATGAGAATATAAACTGGTACAATCAGCCTAGAAGAACAAGACAGTTTCTTATAAAACTGGGTGAAAGGTATATGGTATTTCCTGGACTTTTTTTTTTGGCAACCTCCTATGAATTATTACAAAGCAAAAATATTTAAAATATATATTTACTGTTATATTGTATGTGATCATGTTTAAACATCCTTAATTGACTTCCTATTGTGGAAAATGAAGATTTTAACTTCCTTTTATTCTCCTTTTCTCTTCATCCTCCTCTTCCCCCAGTATAGTTATTATGACAATTATTGGCTAAATCTGTGTTTAGTATTTGTGTCATTATGGTATTGTAAATATTATTCATTGACCAAACAGGTGGCCTATTATCACATTTCTTTTCTTGAATAAATTCCAACTTATACTGGTATTAAAACCACCTCTCATTTCCATTTGTTTAGAGTAAATATATAGCTACACCTTTGCCCTACTTTTTCAACAACTATATGCAATTTTACATACAAAACACCTGTCAGATAGGCAATTCCATTTCCCCCTTATAGACTTGGCTGACATTCCCTGTCCTATACTCTGCTCTGGATGCTAGTCTATACAGGTCCTGCTGCATGACGGAAGACCTGAAAACTAGGTCATCATTCTGGGAATTGTCCTCACTTGCCTCCTGCATTTGTACCCTACTTCCTCAATTTGATGTTGTCCTGTCTTGGTTTACTGCCTTTTTTTTTTTTTTTTTTTTTTTTTTGGTGATGCATATATCTAGCAGCTTTCTGAGAAGACATGCATCCAGACAAATATTTTATATGGCTGAAACAATTTTAAATTTGCCTTATACCCAGTTATTTAGCTGGGCATATGATTTTACACAGAAAAAAATTTTCTTCTCAAAATTTAGATTAGTATATAAGAATAAAAAGTTAATGCATTTATCTTTTTTTATTCTTAATATAAATAATCTTAATTTTATACATCTTTATATATACTGTTTTTACTGTCTAGATCAATTTAAAATGAACCTTTATCATTGGTATTTGTAAATTTATGATTATTTCTTTTGGTGAATTCTCAGTGGGTCTCTTACAGAAGGAAACTTCTAAGAATTTTTCCTGTATTATTTCTTTGATAATTTCCATCTTTTGATTTCCTGCTCCTGTAGTTCCGAAAGTCCACTGGTTAAATTACACCTTCTAAACTGATGCCCCAAATTCTATTTCATCTATTTTTATCTCGTTTTTTTTGTGTGTTTTGTTTTTTTGCTGTACTTTGTGGATGATTTTAATTGACTTTATATTCTAAATGTTTTACATTTTTAAAAATTTTGGATACCATATTTTAGTTTCTGATAATGTCTTGCTTTTGAATGTTTTTTTAAAGAATCTGGATTACAACTCACTGAAACAATATCTTACTGCATCTCTGTGGCTATTAATTACAGTATCTTTTATTTTTTTCTACTTCTTGCATTGTCTGATTTTCCCAAGAACCTCTTTTCTTTCTGTTTGCTTTATGTCTGTCTTTCATTTTTAAATATGCTCCACAATGTTCAGTGCTTGTTTCTCATTCATATTTAAAAGAATGAAAGCTAGTTGAAAGTTTTGTGCATAAATTCAGGGCTTCTTAACTGGTATGGATCACTCTATACTGACCAGGAAGTATTTTAGACTTTTTATTACAATTCTCCAAATTTCAGTATATGTAGTCCTCTTCTGTTAATCAGTTATGATTTCTTTCACTTTTCCTCCAGAGGAGAATCCTTTAAACTTCTATGGGGAGATATAAGCCAAGCTACTGACATTTTGAAGCTGGTTGAACAAATGGATTTGGGATGGGAAATCTTACCTTCAACATAGACTTTAATCTAATGCCTCCAATATGCTTTGGATGTTTGTCCCCTCCAAATCTCATGTTGAAATGTTACTTCCAATGTCGGGCATGAGACCTAGTGGTAAGTATTGCATAATGAGGATGGATCCCTCTTGAACGGCTTAGCACCATCCCCTTGGTGATGAGTTATTGCCCAGCTCACACATGATCTCTTTAATAGAGTGTGGCACATCCTCCTTCCCTTTCTTGTTCCTACTCTTACCCTGTGATGTGCCTGCTCCCCCTTCACCTTCTACCATGATTGTAAGCTTCCTGAGGCCCAAAAGCTGAACAGATTACTGGCACCATGCTTCCTGTACAACCTGAAGAACGATGAGCCAAACATACCTCGTTTCTTTATAAATTACCCAGCCACAGGAATTTCTTTACAGCAATGCTGAACCTGACCAATACATAATGTTTTAAGTACAGAACTTTACTGTTTTGTGGAGTGTCCCCAAATCCATAGCCTCTCTGTTTGAGTCTCTCAAAAAAATATATCTGCAGTTTTTTTCAGTTATGGAGGAGTGGGCTAAGTCCTCCTGTGAAGACTTTAACATAATCCTCCTGTTGTCAGCCCAGTCAGAAATCTCAATAATTTTTAACTTGGAAAAGAAAAAGAATGCAATTATTATCTCTGCTTCTCTTAGGTCTCTGACACTATGTTGACACCATATTTATATTATCTTATCTAATCTCCCATACCTTATAAGATACATTATTCCTATTTTACAGAAGAGGAAGCTGAAGATCAAGTGGCTAATTAAGTTTCTCAGCATCACACAATTAGAGTTCAACATAATTTATTAATAATAAATTTGATAGATTATTGGGGTTCTTCACTCTTTTTATCAAAGTTTGTGTAAAAGTTCCTAGGTAGGGCATCAGAGTATTAGAAATGTCCTTGTTTATCAGCTGATGTGGATGGCTTCTTAGATGTTCATGGACCTAGCACACATGATCCTGCCTTGCTGATTCCCTAGGGCAAAGGCATCTTTTCTAAGTTGAGTGACAGCAATGGCTGTCATATAGATAGCATACAGCTATCCTTAGCTGTCCTACACAGGCACATGCTCTGTGGTCTGGAAAACATTCTGGAGGGTGGATCATAACAGGACACGAGAACTTGCTGTTTTCAGAATCCATCAACCTTGATCTCTTTCCCAGGCTAAGGAAATCTCTCTAAAATATTTATAACACTGTCATCTCTACCTTTCAGGACATGATAACATAATTTCTATACATTTAAGACTTTTACAGAAAAATAAAGAAAGGTGATAGATGTAAGAAGCTTCTGTTTTCCACTCTAGAGAAAATGATGAGGAAATGAATTAGTCTAATCCAATATTTTTTGAAATCGGAGATGGAAAAATTATGGCAAACAAAACAATTTAATATCAATTTTTCTGACATATAAATACTAACTTTGAAAATCTGATCATTTCAGTGAACTCTGTACAACACCACTGGTTTAAAAATTAAGTCTTTTTGTTGGTTGTTGAAGCCACTTGCATATACAATGTGAATTGCTTCTTTTCTTTTTATTTATTTATTTATTTATTTTTTGAGACGGAGTTTCACCCTTGTTACCCAGGCTGGAGTGCCATCTCAGCTCACTGCAATCTCCGCCTCCAGGGCTCAGGCAATTCTCCTGCCTCAGCCTCCCAAGTAGCTGGGACTACAGGCATGTGCCACTGTGCCCAGCTAAATTTTTGTATTTTTAGTAGAAACGGGGTTTCACCATGTTGACCAGGATGGTCTCGATCTCTTGACCTCATGATCTACCTGCCTCGGCCTCCCAAAGTGCTGGGATTACAGGCGTGAGCCACCGCGCCCGGCCTCTTTTTAGTTTTTCTATTTCTCTAGACTTCCCTTCCAGATGTCTTATGATGCTGTGTTATGACTGTTTTTTCTCTGAATTTCTTGAAATCTGATTCCTAAAGCAAACTTCAGGCTATGCTTACTCTTTCCTGCTCTTGCTATTACAAACTAACAACATGTGGCAGCTTTCTACAGCCCAATCTCTTTCACTTCACTAAACATTTAGGCCTCAAGTGTCAGTCCCCCCTAGATTCTTTCTCTTTCTCAGGAACAAAATAATCAAAAAGACAATAAAGAATCCGTTACTATTTTAGCTGAAGGAGTGCTTTTGCAGATGCTGTGGGATAGGCTTTGTGTCCTTCTTTGGTTGGTGTATGGCAGATGCACCTGACAACAATAACAGCATATCCTGAGAATGACCCTGTATTCTAAGAAGAATATGTGTTCAGAGCTCTGAGCTAAGGAATCTTGGAGTGGCCAACCTGAAGATTGAGGTCTTATCTATGAGGAACATCTGAACCCTCAGTTCATCCCATGGAATACACACCATATACTGGATTGAGGCCCTTTGGGCCTAAATGAAGGCTGCCAGGTAGAGGTTGCTAAGGGGAAAGTGCTAAGTGAAAATGCTATATAAACTTCATACTTTTTACAGGTGATTGCAGTTCTTTTGTCCAGCCTGCCACTATTGGACCGCCCTGCATGTAAGTCCCCTCAATAAACCCTAGGTCTTATTCACTGGCTTTAGGTCTCTTCTCTGACCTCACATGATGCTATCCCCAGTGAAGTAAATAGGGGTCAAGCATGACAGTCAAGACATGTTGTTCATTTCTGTCATGAGCCTGTGCTGCATGTACAGCCACTATGATGTCACCTCGGTTCCTCTCCTGCTATGCCTGTGAAAATATACACTAAAATGTAATTGGAAGATTTCCACAGCATACACACTTTTATATACAGTAGAACCCTGCCTCCCTGTAAGGTACATGGTTGTGCTTTGGTCAAGGATAGGCCAAGGTGGACATGATTCCACAAGTTTGGGGAACAGGTGTGCCCCTCCATCTGGCACATAACCTGTTGGTGTAAATTCATACTTGGCTCTGAGCCACTATTGTCTGTAAAAGGTATAATTGCCCTGCTCATGCTGTACAGGGGCTTTTGGGGCTCAGCTTGGTTCAACATGGCTTTTGTGCTGGTGCCCAAAGAGAGAACCAAAGCTGGCGGTTTTGTAGATGGACAGAGGGGAGCCACCACATGGCTCACACTGGTGCCCAGAGAGAGAAACAGGTAAGCTGCTGACCATGAAGGCAAGGGAGAGCTGGCCATGCAGCTGCAGGCATGGGAGCAGCAGGAGCCATAGAGCTGGAGCAGACAGCCAAAATGAAGGTGCACAGTGTAAAGAGCTAGTGTAAGTAAGCTGTTAATGAGAGCTGCTGCTGAATAAAACCATATTCACCTGCCTGTGGCCCCCCAGGTGTTCTTTCTGCCCATCCATCCACTCCCTCAGACCCAGCATAAGCTGGACCTGGATCCCACAATCTAACAATTGGCAATGAGAATGGGATGAAGTGAATGGGTTTCAGTCCCTGAGGGCTCCTGGGTCAGCTCTGAGGCTGCAGCATGAGCTGTGGTACCCAGTGGCAGTGGTGCTGCTTGGATGGGCCCCAGTGGAAATATGGGAGACAGTGGATAGGTCTCTTGTGAGTGTGGAGAAGATACTGAAGCACCTAGAAGTGCACAGCATCGAGAAGAAGCATGCCTTGACAAGCAGAGTCAGATGGACGTTTGTTACTGTGCTGTAGTATGTGCCTGCCCAGTCCTTGCAAGATGCAGTACAGGAAGGAGGAAGAACCAGCCAGGCGCGGTGGCTCATGCCTGTAATCCCAGCACTTTGGGAGGCAGAAGCGGGTGGATCACGAGGTCAACAGATCGAGACCATCCTGGTCAACATGGTGAAACCCCGTCTCTACTAAAAATACAAAAAATTAGCTAGGCATGGTGGCCCGTGCCTGTAATCCCAGCTACTCAGGAGGCTGAGGCAGGAGAATTGCCTGAACCCAGGAGGCGGAGGTTGCTGTGAGCCGAGATGGCGCCATTGCACTCCAGCCTGGGTAACAAGAGCGAAACTCCGTCAAGAAAGAAAAGAAGGAAGGGAGGGAGGGAGGGAGGGAGGAAGGGAGGAGGAGGAAGGAAGGAAGGAAGGAAGGAAGAAAGGAAGGAAGAAAGGAAGGAAGGAAGGAGTGAGGGAGGGATAGAGGAGGGAGGGAGGGAGGGAAGGAAGGAAGGAAGGAAGGAAGGAAGGAAGGAAGGAAGGAAGGAAGGAAGGAAGGAAGGAAGGAAGGAAAGAAAAAGAAAAAAGAAAAAGGAGGAAGAACCTCCATTGCAGGCTCTCCCAGTGATCTACAAGAAAATAAAGCAGGAGCAGCTGGTGGGCCCCAAGTGTGAGCCAGAGACCCCCTATTGTGGTAGAAAACATTACCTATGGTTCCTGTGTCCCCGCTAAGTTGTGGGAGTTAAGCATGTAATGTTTGGCAGTCATGTACAGACCTAGTGCAGGTCATTTGGAATAAGGACATTGCTGCATGGCCCCGTCCTGGCCAAGCGTTCTAGTTCAAAGAGTACCTGCTGTAGCTGTTGGGAGTGTAAAGCCTTTTCTATCTGATAAGAGAACTTGTAGAGATGCACAGCTTGTGGGGGCACCAGAAAACCAGAGCAATCTTTGGACTTGGCAGTCTACTGGTCCCTGAACCCAGATAAATTTCCAGGCAAAGCTGGATTTATTAATGGCTATGAAGACCAGTCAGTGAAAGTGAAACCTGTCTTTGCATCTTGGCATTGGCCGCTTGGCTTTCCACTTGTGCGTTGTGTATGTCTCTCCCATACCTGAAGGCATTCTGGGGCTGGATATTATGCATGGCTTGGCAGCTGTGATGTCTGTCATGGACTTGATGGACCATTTCACAACAGAACTGGGACAGTCCACAGAGAGCCAGGAACAGTTTGCCTTCATGGGCAGGCAACAATGGACTTTCACAGTGTAGCTGCAGGGCTATGTATGGCCTCACCATATGTTGTAGTTTTGTTGATAATGTTATATTAACCTCTGATTCTCTTGCAGGTTTAAAAGTGGCAGTGCCCCCGCTTGCCTGGAATTGGGGTGATAAGGTTAAGACACCCTTTGTGTGTAGTAAACTGAGGGTGCCCATTTATACTAGATGTACATGTAACCACAGCTATTTTTGGCTTGGGCCTATAGCAGCAGTTCATGGAGTCATTGGAAGCACTAGTGGGCTGTTAGTCTCAGCTGTGAAAGGGAGCTGAGCTCTGGTGTTCATCAATAGAGAAGCAGTTAGTGATAGCGGGATGGTTATGTTCCTGGGTAACCATCCCCTGAACTGGGAAAGCAGTTAGTGACTGCATATACTGCCCTTCAGGCTCATAAGAGCATGGCAGGATAGGTTAAGTCATCATGCAGACAACTTACCAGTAACGGGAAGGGCTCGTTCATGGGTAACTGCCCCCTGGACAGGCACGGCGCAGACATCCACTTCAGTAAAGTAGGGTACCTACTTAGAGCAGCAGAGTACGCTGAGTGCAAGTCCCTTAGCAGCAGAGTAGGCCTGTAGTCCTAATGCAAAATCAGGCCACGGGGCCTGAGGCACCCCTAGACCCTGAGCCTTCTCCATTCGAAATGGTGTCCCCCCATTTCTAATAGGGCATGGTACACAGTTAGGTCTGAACTGCTGATGCAGCCCAGCCTAGTACTGACACCATAATGGCTTAAAACCAGGTGTAGGCAAAGTTGCCAATAAGCTAAACTCAGGGCAATGTGGACGGTAATCACCAAGGAGGTGACACCTATGGTAATCTGCACCAATAGCTGGGCAGTTTAGCAAAGCTTGTTTAAGAAACAGGCCTGCATGCCCGGAAGCTTATGTATGCATCAGGCCTGGGTGTCCAAAATTATGTGTCAGCCGTATGTGATAAGCCCGTATGTATATACTGAGCCTGTGTGCCCAAAGCTTTTATGTATAACCTGTGTGTCTGAAACCTATGTTTTCCTTGGCCTAGTGGGTGGAGTGTAAGGTACATGGATGTGCTTTGGTCAAGGATAGGCCAAGGCAGATATCCAGGCCTGCAGGACTCAGTGAGTTTGGCGTGCAGGTGCACACCTCCATTTGCTATATAACCTATTTGTGTAAGTTCATACTTGGCTCTGAAACAATATTGTCTGTAAAAGGTGTAACTGCCCTGCTAACACTGTACAGGGGCCCTTGGGTCTCAGCTTGGCTCAACATCGCTCTTGTGCAAGCACTGGTGTCCAGAGAAAGAGAGCGAGCCAAAGCTGTCTGCCTTGCAGACAGAGGAGAGCCACAGCATGGCTAACAGTGGTACCCAGAGAGACAGAGTTAAGCTGCTGACCCCGAGGCAAGGGAGAGCAGGCCATGCAGCTGCAGGTGTGGAGTTAGCAGGAGCCAGAGCCGGAACAGCCAGCCAAGAAAAGATGCACAGAGTAAAGAATGTTAAGTAAGATGTTGATGAGAGCTGCTGCTGAATAAAACCATATTCACCTGCCTATGTCTCCCCTCCTCCTCAGGTGTTCTTTCTGCCCAACCACTCACTCCCCTCGGACCACAGCATGGGCTGGACCAGGACCCCTGGATCTAACACTCCACACAATTAAAGTGTACTGTCTTTGGAACGGGTTCACCCTTAACCCACCATTTTCCAATTTTGAGATCAACCCAGAAAGTCTCAGTAATTTTAGTAAGATTAATATTGATTGACTGATGTGCTAATCTGAATTTCACAGGTTAATGTGAACATATATCTTTTCTGGTCCTTTTTATTTTCTTTTTTTAGAATTATAAAATACTTGACATTTTTCTGTCTTTACTTTACTCTGTATCTTAAAGTATTTTCTCTTACCTTCTCCCTAGCTCAGTGCTGTTAACTGACCATACATTCTCAAAACTCATAATGCATAAGGAGAACCTGTAAGGCTAATTTACATATGTTAACTCAGAGACTTCCAAACCCCTTTTCCTGCTGAGCTCAGTAAGTTGGTGACAAGGCCCAAGAACTGGTCTTCTGAAGACCACTTATTGAGAAGAACTATTCCAAACAAGCAAGTTTCCCCTCACGTTAGTGAGATGAGCTACATTATCCAAGTTTCATCATTCTGATATCTTAGGCCACTGTCCAGAAACTCAGATGATTGCCAATACTATCTCTGGGGCCAAATGTTCAACTCCACGATCATTTTTCTCTTTTAAAGTCTATGGATAGGAAGAAATGCTGAACATATCACCTGGGATCTTCAGTGTCTTTACTTCCTTCAACTTACCACCCAAACCTCAGAAAGCATTGTATTTTCAAATACCACTAAGTCAGAAAGAGCAAGAAATGGTTAACGGTTTTGACACAACTTATCCTTCCCTATAAAATACATGCTTTGGAAAAACAGGACATCTCCTAAAGGATAAAGATGAACATCTGTGTTTTTGTATCTCCAGCGACTATTTAGCAGAACATCTCCTAAAGGATCATTTGCACCTAAATTAATTAGTAGAAAGTTAGTAATCACTGATAACGTGTCCCTGCCTCCTATGTTCAATGGCAAGACTTATTTTACCCAAAATTATTTAAAAATTATCCTTACTGGAGCATGTGTTTCTCTGGATTCAATTTATCTCAATCAGTGGTTCTAAACCAAGTGCAATTTTGATGCCAGGGGACATTTGGCAAAGTTTGGAGACATTTGTGTTTGTCATGAGTAAAGAATGGGGAAACTATCGGCATCTAGTGAGCAGAGACCAAGGATGCTGCTAAACATATCACAATGTACAAGACAACCTCTTGCCACCAACAAACAGGAAATGTGAACAGTGCCCAGATTGAGAAACCCTGCTATATATAAAACCAGCATCATATCTATCATAAATATGCAATAACTACCATACACTATTTTTATTCTTATTAAAAATATACATCACATTAGGTCAGTGTCATAACGTTTCAAAATTCATTCCGATGACTCAGGTTTTGGCTTCCTTATATAACTCTGTATCCCATACATTACTTTTTTTACTCTTTGTGTATTAGAAGCATTATCATGAACATCTGTGTTTTTGTATCTCCAGCAACTATTTAGCAGAACAGCATCTCAGCTGCTGCATGTGACGCCTATCAACCAGCCAATCATGAACGCCCAATAATCCTAAACACATGGGTGATAACAGGGCCCAGAGGTAAGCCGGTCTTTTTCCACTGAGAACGACACACTTAAAATACACAGGAATACAAGAGCTTTGTAACTAAGTTGTCCACTATTGTCTGTAAAAGTGAGTAAGTTGTCCAGTGGTGCTACTCTAAAGAGAAGGGTTATACATTTCTATTGCTGCAAGCTGCACTGAGTTCTTTATCTTTGAATTATTCAGAATATTTTCTCTAACTTTTTCTGTCCATAATCATTAAAGACTGATACATGTTGCTAGTAGCCAAAGAACACAATACGATAAATGTTTCTTTTTTTTTTTTTTAGATGGAGTCTCACTCTGTCGCCCAGTCTGGAGTGTAATAGTGCAATCTCGGCTCACTGCAACCTCTGCCTCCTGGGTTCTAGCAATTCTCCTGCCTTAGCCTCCCGAGTAGCTGGGACTACAGACACACACCACCAAGCCTAGGTAATTTTTGTATTTTACTAGAGATGGGTTTTCACCATGTTAGCCATGCTAGGGACAAGCTGACCCACCCCGACACACACTCTAATTGCTCTGTAGCTGCATTCCTAAACTCCTATCTAGGTGCTACAATGAAGCAAAACCTGATTACAGTTATCTGGTCAGCTCAGGGGAAGACAGGGAAAATAAATGTTTGTTATCCATACTTGTAAATTCCTGTTATACACGTACCTGTAAAATCCTGTTTTTTTAAAAAACTGCCACCAGAAAAGTCACAGGATGATGCATTGTAAGTCCGTCAAAAGTTAACCAACTATCTTTGTGCCTGTTACAAGCTGATTATCTCAGTTCTGAAACTCCCTTATGCCCCTCTTACCCTATGTAAACCCCACGTTTTATAAGCTTGGGGCTGCTGCCTCTGCTTGTTACAGGGAAGCCCAACAGGTTAATAAAACTGGCTTGCCTAACTTTGGGTCTACTCTCCTTCTCTCAGTGAACCTTACAGGTCAGGCTGGTGTTGAACTCCTAATCTCAAGCAGTCCAACCATCTTGCCCTCCCAAAGTGCTGGGATGACAGGTGTGAGCCACCATACCTGGTGGGATAAATGTTTTCTTCACTGTTGATCTGCTGACACAGAGAAGAGAGAGTCTCCCAACTGCTTCATGTGTTCCTTTTGAAAGAAACTAGCTTGAATGTGTTCACAGTCAGTGGGACTTAACCTCTGGTGAGGAAAACAGTTGGTATCCATCCCTTAAAGTTCTGAAGCCCTTGCCTGAGTCCACTCAATAAACAGAATGTTTTACAGCAGGACTATTTAAAAGGTGGCCTGCCTTCCAGCAGAACCTGTAGCTTATTAGAAATGCAGATTATGAAATCACATGACTACTGTAGGTCTCAAATTTCAGCCTGCATAAAAATCACCTGGAAGGCTTGTAAAATGAAGAGTCTTAGGTTGCCCCCACAAAGATTCAGCAGGTCTCGGATAGGGCCCAAGAATTTTCTTTTCTTTCCAGTTGCAAAGCTGTACTGCTATTGCTGTTGTTCCTCAGACCACATTTAGAACAGCTCTGTGAGAACATGCCACTTTTTCTGCCTATTAATCTTCATCTTATCTGACATAAAGCTCAGCTGCAAATAAAAGAAACCCACCTGAAACGCACTTAAATAACAACAGTGCAATTTAGAGGTTTGAGGGTTTCAGCTGTAGCTCAATTATATTGCCAACTACCTGTTTCTTTCCAAGTAAATGACCTCTTTTTGAATATTGCTGAAAACTGCAAAGCTGTCAGGTCTGGTGTGGATGTGTTTACTAAAGTGATCACTACGCAAATTTATCTGTAACCATATCCATATAGCATTTTTAGCATATTTTAGGCCTTCAGTGAGTAACAAAAACTGACCTCTGTCATTCCTCCTTCTTTGAACATGCTGTTGTCTCTACCCGAAAACAAGTATTTATCTACTCATATATCCCCTCCTTGTATCACAGTAACTCCCAAACGTCAAGAACCCTTATGTGCTAGGTAGAGAATGGAGAACAAAACAGCCATAGTGCCTGCTTTAAAAAGCTATAATGGCTGGGTGTGGCGGCTCTCGCCTGTAATCTCAACACTCTGGGAGGCTGAGGTGGGCAGATCATTTGAGGTCAGCAGTTCAAAACCAGCTTGGCCAACATGGTGAAACCCCCATCTCTATTTAAAAAATAATAATAATAAATAAATAAAAAGCTTTAATAACTTTCTACGTCCTACCCTTATTCCCATTCCCTAAACCTACTTAGGAACACTTGCTAGTACCATCCTACCTCTTATATTATGTACCCCATTATACTGTATATATAAAGTAAATAGAAAAGCATACATAAGTATAAAGTATAATAGATTCAGTGAAGTAGAAAGAGATGACTGGGAGAATGTGACAATGTGGATATAAAGGCCACAGGGATTTTGTAACTTAGATCAGGATCCTCTCAAGTGATCTTATTAGGATACTCTGAATTCGAAGTGTGAAACACACAGGGTAATAAACGTTGGGAAAGCATAAAAACTCATAAAAGAAATTGCATTATGTTTTATTAAATCAAAGTTTAAAAATATCTGATTATGCCTTGAAAAATCAATAACATTGTATTCTTTTTTAAGAATACTCTTCTGTCTTGGGATAGTTAACTCTATTTACTGTATTTTTCCACATAAACAGAAAAGAAAGCCGCAGGGACATGTATTGGAGATGTATGCAGTTGAGTCAATCCTCTGAAGAGGACAGAGTTGATTTATAACTCCATTTGATCCATTTGCTTTACTGATGGTCTTTTCTCTTTCAATCCAGCATGGTAAAGATCTGTCAAAGAAAACAAATGACTCAGAGTCCACGTGCCGTGTCGGCGTATAGTTTATCTTTTGTCCTTCTTGTTCTTCCCTTGTGCACATCTGACAGTGTCTCTCAAGGTTAGCGAAAGAGTGAGCATACACTGCTGAGCAAATTGGGCATAAAACCAGTAATGTTTTCTAGAGAAAGTACAGCAAAGAAGCTATCTCCTGCCTCCTGCCCCCAATTTATGATGTCTTTAAGATTTTTCTTTTTTGTTTTCTTCATCTCTGAACTCATTAACTTTAGCGTTGGCATAGCCAAGATGTTTTTTTCTTTCTTTTTTTTTTTTTTTTTTGGTTGGAGACAGGGTTATGTTCTGTGGTCTGGGCTAGAGTGCAGTGGTGTGATCAGAGCTCATACATACCAGTCACACTACTGGGGAGTAGTCCTAGCTACTCCGGAGGCTGAGGCTCAAATGATCCTCCCACCTCAGCTACTGGGAGAACTATGGGATGCACACCAGGTCCAGCTAATTTGTTTTTTCATTTTTGTAGAGATGAGACCTGGCTATGTTGCCCAGGCTGATCTTCAATGTCTGGCCTGAAGTGATCTTCTCACCTTAGCCTCTCAAAGTGCTGGGATTACATGTGTGAGCTACTACACCCAGCCCAAGATGACTTTTTATGGTTGAATTTTTATGATTTCTTTTTGTTTATTGCATTTTAGGTTTGGGAGTACATGTGAACATGCAGGATTGTTGCATAGGTACACACATGGCAATGTGGTTTGCTGCCTTCCTCCCTATCACCTATATCTGGCATTTCTCCCTATCTTATCTCTCCCCAACTCCCCACCCCTGACTGTCCCTCCCCTTGTTCCCCACTACAGATCTCAGTGTGTGATGCTTACCTCCCTGTGTCCATGTGTTCTCATTGTTCAACACCAGCCTATGAGTGAGAACATGCAGTGTTTGATTTTCTGTTCTTGTGTCAGTTTGCTGAGAATGATGGTTTCCAGGTTTATCCATGTCCCTACAAAGGACACAAACTCATCGTTTTTTATGGCTGCATAGTATTCCCTGGTGTGTATGTGCCACATTTTCCCTGTTCAGTCTATCATCGATGGGCATTTGGGTTGGTTCCAAGTCTTTGCAATTGTAAACAGTACTGCAATGAACATTCGTGTGCATGTGTCCTTATAATAGAACGATTTATAATCCTTTGCATATATACCCAGTAATGGGATTGCTGGGTCAAATTGAATTTCTATTTCTAGGTCCTTGAGGAATTGCCACACTGTCTTCCACAATGGTTGAACTAATTTACACTCCCACCAACAGTGTAAAAGTGTTCCTATTTCTCCACATCCTCTCCAGCATCTGTTGTCTTCAGATTTTTTAATGATCACCATTCTAACTGGCATGAGATGGTATCTCAATGTAGTTCTGATTTGCGTTTCTCTAATGACCAGTGATGATGAGCATTTTTTAATATGTTTGTTGCCTCATATATGTCTTCTTTTCAAAAGTGTCTGCTCATATGCTTTGCCCACTTTTGAATGGGTTTGTTTGTTTTTTTCTTGTAAATCTGTTTTAGTTCTTTGTAGATTCTGGATATTAGTCCTTTGTCAGATGGGTAGATTGCAGAAATTTTTTCCCATTCTGTTGGTTGCTGGTTCACTCTAATGATTGTTTCTTTTGCTGTGCAGAAGCTCTGGAGTTTAATTAGATCCCATTTGTCTATTTTGGCTTTTGTTGCCAAGCTTTTGGTATTTTAGTTGTGAAGTCCTTAACTATGCCTATGTCCTGAATGGTTTTGCCTAGATTTTCTTCTAGGGTTTTTATTGTGTTAGGTCTTATGTTTAAGTCTTTAATTCATCTGGAGTTAATTTCTATGAAAAATAAGGATAGTGTTGGTGATCTGGTGGCTTGGTCAAAGGCTAAGAAAGTTCCAGGATGTTGAGTTAGAAACAGCCTGTCTTGCTGTTTGGGTCATTCACAGCTGACAGATGGGCAAACCACAAGCAAAGGAAATGAAAAAGACATCTGCTGGTTAGTTCTGTAAAAGAGAAGATTAACATTTTGTGGGATAAAGCACATTCTTACAATTTTGGACACCTCACTAAGAAAAAAGGAATGCAAAGTACCAAAGAAATTGTATGAAAAGTGTTTAGAAAATGAACAAAATAAACAGGAACAAATTATAAATGTAAAACTGCTGATTAATACCACAAACATTATAAAATTCAAAACAATAACAATATTCATATTAATAAACACTATCTTCTTTTCCATTATATACTCCCAATTGTAGATGCTATAGGGTACTTTTATATATAGCAAAATAACTCTGGCCCTGCAGTTTTACATTATTATACTAGGTAAACTGCATGGCAAGCAGTTAGGACTAGAACTGACAGTCACTGCTATACTTAACAGTTACTTAGCTTTTTACAAAAAGACTGCAAAGCTCATAAACTCTCAAAACCCAAATAAAATGTATTCCCATTTCAATTTTCCCTTTTCTATATCCTCAAGTTGCCACAGGCTACTCTGATGCCCTCTTATAGAGGCAGAGAATACCAAGGGGTTGGAATGGAAAGGGGCAACCGACAGAAATGATGTGGTTACAATGTACTACAACTGCATATTTTAGTAGTCAAGTTCCTCAATGTGTATTCCTAGCACAGGGTTGGATTTACTGTAGGGCATATAAACAAGTTGATGATGATTCTAGAAGAAGACCTGGAAGGAGCCTAAGCAGGTGAGGAGCCCTGAGACTTAAGGTTAGTCAGCTTTATAGTAAATCCAACTCTCGTGCTAGATGTATGTAGTGAGGAACTTGACTATTAAAATTCAGTGAATGTTTTGAGAACCTGTACTAGACAAATTGGGGCGATTTATGAAGCACATGGTATCGTAGAAGGGAACCTATTTATTGGCACTTTCATCTTGGGATTTTTATTTATGTAAATATAGTACCAGTTCAAAAAAAATAAGTAACTATTTGTAAATAAAAAAATTAAAAGAAACCTATGAGACATGGTTCCTACTCCTAACTTTGATAAGTTTTCTCAAATTATGCAGGGGTGAAAGAAGAAAAATAACTGAGAGGTTCAGGAATTCTCAGGAAATAAACCATGATATATCATAATACCTATCAGAATATCTATATCCATGAGAATATCTATGAGATATCTATAAGAATATCTATGAGAATATTGGAGCGTTCAATTCAAACTTAATTCTAAGCAGAAGAGAAGAAAAATGAAACCACATAGAGGTATGCAGGAGCCACTGTGGCATTAGAAGTTCGATCCACTCACAAAATTCCATTTATAAACTCTTGTGTAGAAGGAGTGCCAAGCCATCTCAGGTTTTAAGTAGGAGTTCTGAAACTGGAAAACCAGGAAAGGCCCAGTTGAATGGGCTGGACCAAAGTGACCAGAGAGGAAAGTCTGCCTTTAAGCAAACTCTCATAAGCCACCTGCTTACCACACCCTCACTAAACAAACCAAGTGGTCCACTACAAGACAGTTCTATACCTTGTAGGAGGTAGCTTCACACCATAGATGTGTGACAAACTTCCTCCCTCATCCCTTTATGAGTCCCTGACCTACACTTATGTGAAAGTAATAAAGTAATGGTCATTTTAAGCCACTACACAATTTGTTACACCACACAGTAGCCAGAACACTATTCTTCATCCATTTATTTCTGAAGCAAGATACTAAGTATGTTGAATATAAATTATTTTGAAACAAGTTAGAACATTTTTGTCCAAAGGTCTGGAGGAGTTGGTTGGCATGTTATCAGATGAGAGAATAGATAAATAACATAACCCTCAGAAAGTAGCAGTTGCTGTAACCTCCAAGAAGCAGAGTGTGTGCCAGTCCTCCTGTACGGCTGCAGTCGAGCCATGCTGAGCTCCTACGGCCTCTCCAGCCTTGCTGTGAGCTCTGTGTGTGTGTGTGTTTTGTTTTGTTTTTTTAAATTTTTTATTGGATTTTAGGTTTTGGGGTACATGAGCAGAGCATGCAAGACAGTTGCGTAGGTACACACATGGCAGTGTGCTTTGCTTTTCTTCTCCCCTTCACCCACGTTTGGCATTTCTCCCCAGGTTATCCCTTCCCACCTCCCCCTCCCACTGGCCCTCCCCTTTCCCCCCATATAGACCCCAGTGTTTAGTACTCCCCTCCCTGTGTCCATGTGTTCTCATTTTTCATCACCCACCTATGAGTGAGAATATGTGGTGTTTCAATTTCTGTTCTTGTGTCAGTTTGCTGAGGATGACGTTCTCCAGATTCATCCATGTCCCTACAAACGACACAAACTCATCATTTCTGATTGCTGCATAATATTCCATGGTGTATATGTGCCACATTTTTCCAATCCAGTCTATTATCAGTGGGCATTTGGGTTGATTCCAGGTCTTTGCTATTGTAAACAGTGCTGCAATGAACATTCGTGTACATGTGTCCTTATAGTAGAACGATTTATAGTCTTTTGGATATATACCCAGTAATGGGATTGCTGGGTCAAATGGAATTTCTATTTCTAAGGCCTTGAGGAATCGCCACACTGTCTTCCACAATGGTTGAACTAATTTACACTCCCACCAACAGTGTAAAAGTGTTCCTTTTTCTCCACATCCTCTCCAGCATCTGTTGTCTCCAGATTTTTTAATGATCGCCATTCTAACTGGTGTGAGATGGTATCTCAATGTGGTTTTGATTTGCATCTCTCTGATAACCAGTGACGATGAGCATTTTTTCATATGATTGTTGGCCTCATATATGTCTTCTTTTGTAAAGTGTCTGTTCCTATCCTTTGCCCACTTTTGAATGGGCTTGTTTGTTTTTTTCCTGTAAATCCGTTTGAGTTCTTTGTAAATTCTGGATATCAGCCCTTTGTCAGATGGGTAAACTGCAAACATTTTTTCCCATTCTGTTGGTTGCCAATCCACTCTAGTGACTGTTTCTTTTGCCGTGCAGAAGCTGTGGAGTTTCATTAGGTCCCATTTGTCTATTTTGGCTTTTGTTGCCAATGCTTTTGGTGTTTTGTTCATGAAGTCCTTGCCTACTCCTATGTCCTGGATAGTTTTGCCTAGATTTCCTTCTAG